TCCCTCTGCTCCCTCTGACCTCTGCTCCCTCTGACCTCTGCTCTCTCGGTAGAACATCCCACCTTCTCTGGTCTCTAAGACAAAAGGTGGAGATGCAGCAGAACATCAGAGATCTGTCTCTTGTTGTTACTGTTGCTGCTAATGTTTACTTCCTCTGTTGTCCTCTAAGTTAATTACATGTTAAGGTTTGATCTCCTCACTCTGCTGCTAACTAGCAACAGAAAGTGATTTACTGCTTTAGAATAACCGTCTAATCAGTTGGATGTTTTTGGTTTTAGCGGTTGGTGTTTGCACCCTGTACGGCTGTCAGCATCCTACCTCTCTGCTGGGCTGGCTGCTGGGTAACGGGAGCTGTCCGAGGGCTGGGTACTGATTTACCTGATTGACATAACTGTGTGGTTGCAACATATTTTATATTGTTCCACTTCATGTAATTGGTTACATTTTTAAACGCAGTAAAAGAAGAGATGCAGATGAGCAGCTTTGCAGAGTGCAGGTCTGCTTAATGTGGACCAGGATGCGGTTCCAGGACCTGCAGGGACCGGCATCCTGACCAACATGGAACCCAGCCTGCAGCCTGATCCATGCATGTTCAAAGGTCCTGCCTGTTTCTCCACAATATTAACATCCAACAGCTAATTATTAAAGCAATGACGGCAGCTGGAAGGACAATAGAAAATACATTTTAAAAGTTGATGTTTGGTCGCATGAATCCATCTTTATGAACGGACACAAGGAGATTCAGAATAGGAAAATTGATTTTTTATTTTTTCAATAAAGCCATTCTTTTGACTGTGTTTTAATTAAGCATTGGCTGCTTTGATAATACCACCAATTACAGCATATCAGGTAGAACTGGTCCTCAGTGCTCAGTCATGGCTCCACAGCCCTCAAACCCTTATCCTGCCTGCAGGCTGCTTCTCAACACATTTCTAGTTTGGAATCTCATCTAATCAAACTATAATTTCTATAATTTCCCTCCATCTGTTCCTGCTGTTTATGGTGTTCAAGATTGTGATCTAATCATCTCACTTCAGATGTCGCTACGCCATAATTTTGCCATATAGCACGTATATATATATATATATATAGAGAGAGATATGTATATATCTATATTTATATGTATAAACATGCATACAAACATATGCCAATGTTTTGAACATGACTGAACTCCCATTAAGGTAGTTTGAAGTTAATTTTTTGTACAAAACTAAAGGAATAAACAGGTATTAACTTTGGGGAAGCTGGTCTTACTGAACACCGGCCATTTTTCTATCAAATATTTCATTTATATTCATAATTGAATTCTTACAGCATAGAATGCTGTTCTCCTGGTTTTAGAGTCGTACACCAACCTGTGGCGATGGGCGGGGTCCGGCAGACCGCCCTCTCCCGTCCCGTTCAGCACATGGATCCAGAGCAGTGAACCTTGATTTACCAAGTTTAAAGGTTTTGGTAGTTTAAACAATCCTGGGAACATTGCTAACATCTGCTTTTCTCATTAAGTTTCGTATTAATCTGATTTGAATTCCTGTCAAAACGTCACTTCACTGAACGAGGTTTGTTGACTTTAACCAGTTTGGGATTAGATGGAAAATGCTCTCATGACTGATTCCAAAAAGGTTCAAATCAATCCACTAGACTTTGTTTCCAAGTCTGAAGATGTTTCCCTTCCATCCAGGAAGGTTTTTCATTCAAAATGTCAGAAATAGCTTTCACTTCAAGAACGTTCACATTGTGGACAGAGAGGATAGGCAGTTTGAGAGGAGAGAGCTATTCAGCCAGGCCAACAATTCCCTCTAACGACCCCCCCTTTCAGAGACATAGACAGGTATGGGGCATTGCAGGCTAACAAAGAAGCCAAACGACCCCCCCTTTCAGAGGCATAGACAGGTATGGGGCATTGCAGGCTAACAAAGAAGCCAAACGACCCCCATTCCAAAGGGGGGGACCCGTTCATCCGTTTCTATTTGCATGTTTTCTAAACTAAAACCAGGCTTTGTTGGGCTGCTGGATAAAACCTGGAACTAAACGCTATTTCTGACATTTTGGATTGAAAAATTTTCCTGGATGGAAGAGAAACGTCTTCAGACTAAAATAGTTTAACAGTTTGGGAATGACTGACCTGGATGACTGAGGACCTTCACCAGCATACTCTAGTGAACGATCCACTGACACCAGGTGGAGTTAGTTAGAAACCTCCTCAGATCTACCAGGTGAATTTCTACCTTATATAACCAACAGGCCTGGATGGGAGCAGAGTTCAGACCCCTGGCGGCTCTACTAACCAAAGAAATGACCTTTTCCTAATTAAAATCAGGATGAAGCAGGTAGGTACCAGATCTGCTCAGCGCCATCACCCTTCCTATGATGTCATCATATGGCAACACCCCTCATTCAAACTGTACCGCACCCGTTTTTGAAAGGATCAAATCTTTTTGAGTCTCAACATATTATTACCTATATTTGGTGTTATTTTACATTTCATAGGCGATCTAAAGTAGCTGATAGAAAATAATTGTCAGTCTGGATGGAAAGTGCTGCCTTCTCTGCGATTTACTGAGGTGACACAAAAGCTTATTTGATCCTTTTTATTGAGATCTGAGGGCAGAGGACAAATGAGACAACTGAAAAATTACTGTCAAACAAAGAAAGCAGTTATTCTACTTATAGAAAACAAAAGGTTTTCGTTGACATGAGGTTAAAAGTAGCGTAGCTTAATATAGCTAACTGGCCGATAGCTGCGGGGAAAAAATCGTTTTGGTGATATATCTTTCAGTACCTAGTATTGATTTTAAAATCAATGCGGGAAAACTGAGCACCTCTGCACTGCTGCTGATAGATGGCGCTGTGGAGCCCTTTTGCTGAGCGGCGCCATATCTGTAGTTGGGGCCGTCACAATGGAAGATGTGGTCGGACTACAACCCCAAACATGGATGCCAAGATGACTAAATGATCAAAACCTCCCAATGAACACGATCAGTCCTCGCTGTTTTATCTATACATTCATAGTTGGGAAAAGTATTGTAATATATAGTGACATCATAGACCCCTACTGACCGAGCTAATATAGGCTAACCTGTTAGCCACAGCGCTACCCAGCTCTTTATATCTTAACAGTTTGTTCACTAGAAGTAGATTATTTTTTTTGTTTTTATTAGCAAGCTAACGCTACAGATGCTCTCCACTCTTCATGATGTTATTGTTGTCAGGGCAACCACGATGCGTTACATCATGTGGCAACGTTCAGCCAATCATGTAGCGTAGCGTCACTAGCATGAAGCAGGTGTGGTAGCTGCGGCGGCCGGCGGGTTCTTAGAACCTCTGCGGACCCAGCCGGAGCAGCGGAGCAGGAAGCGAACGCTGGCGAGGTTTCAGAGAAGGAAAGACAAAGCGGAGTTTCGCTGTTCAGCCACATCTTTATTAAAATTACCTTGCAAATCTAGAAAGAGCTGATTAAAAAAAGACCCGAGCCGTCAGACCGATGTGCAGCTCCCACACATCCTCCAACAGCGGCATCAGCCTTCAACGCAAACTAACCCAAACTAACTCAGGTCCCGTTCTTCTTCTGCTGACAATTTCATACCAAACCATAAGCGGGACCCCCCCTCCCCCCTCCCACAAAGACAAATAAAGACCATTAAGGTACTGGGATTACATCGGTGGCACACAGCGGGGGCGATGCAGGACAGGTGTTTGAATGAGATTTAAATGAGTCGACTGTTCGTGCAACAGGAGAGGCAGATGACGGACAGGAAGCCCTGGAGGAATGAAGGCTTTGGGCGCAGTCCAAGGACGCTGATGGAGGAGCGGCTCAGTACTCGTCCGCCTGGCCCTCCATCTTGAAGCCGTTCTCGCCTGAAGCGTAGTCCTCGGCCGACTGGAACGACTGCTGGTCCATCATCCCGTCCTGGCTGTACTCCTCCATGTTGGCTGGAGGCCCCTCCTCCTCGTTGGCCACGTTGTCCTGGGGGCCCGTGTCGTCTCGCGTGGAGCCGTGGCGGTCCTCTCTCCGCTCCCTGTCCCTGTCTCCACGCTCCCTCTTGTGCTCCCTGTCTCTGTCCCGCTCCCTGCGTCTGTCTCTGTCCCTGTGGCTCCGCCTTCTGTCCCTGTCTCTATCTCTGTCCCTGTCTTTGCGCTCCTCTGTCCCATCAGGCGCCCCTCCCTCGTGCTCCTCCTGCACGCGCTCCCCAGCCTCTGTGGCGCCGTCTCCCTGGCTAACCTCCTCCCCGTCCAGGCCTTTGCCTCTCTCCCTGTCTCGCTTGCGGTCCCTGCTCCTGCTCCTCCTCTTTCGGTCCCTACTTCTTTCCCTGCTCCTGCTGTCTCCTCCTGTTGCCCCACGCTCGCGGTCTCTCTCTCGACGCCGGCTGCTACCGCCGCCATCTTCAGCTGCTACAACTCCTCTTTCCCTCTCCCTCTCTCGCTCCCTGGAACGGGTGTGCCGGCGCCGTTCGCGGGACCGGGTTCTCCGCCGTTCTCTGTCCTTGTCACGGTCGCGGTCCCGACTGCGCTCCCTTCGCTCTCCGCGGTCGCTGCGTCAGAAGAACCAACAGAAGCCATTAGGAAAATGTCTGGTTGAAGCGACCTGAATCTGTGAGGAGAACCACTCACCCTCCCAGTGAGCGGTCGTCATAACGCGACGCATCGTCTCGACCGGAATGCTTGATGTTGACGTCAGCTCCGCCTCTCCTCGTACCTCCCAATCCTCCTCCTGCACAGAGTTACGGCAGACATGTTGAATTTAACAAATAGGAAATAAAACAACAACAACAAAAACATCCTCAAAGTCTGTCCTCCAACCAACAGGAAGTCGGCCATTTTAGGTCCAAAGATCGTTCGTTTTCTGCTGAACTTTATCAGATACTGTCAATAGATTCTGAGGTTTCACCTTTTGTGACAAACGGACAATTATAAAGAGCAAAAACAACCTTACAGGGCTTCTTCAGCATATAAGAGCGAGTACTTTAGACATGCTTCAAATTCCCCCACCAGTTATCTGATGGTCGACATCCGTTCAGTGTCAGTTCCTCATCAGTCGTGGCGTCTAGCTGATCCTAAACCTCTGA